GCAAGACATGCCGATAAATGGAAAGTCATATCATTTCTTATTGAACCAAATGTATGAACATTTTCGGGATAATCTGAGGTTCCACTGGTAGTTCATCGAATAAAAGTCATGAAGATCTTAGGTCATAGGAAACATTCATAGTATGACAATTTAGGAGGTCGAATATGATGTCTAGTGTGTTCCAATTAAAACCAGTGACAAGATATAAATCTTTTAAAACCATAGTGAAACCCTCCAACCAAACTCCATTATGCAATTCCCCAGAACTGCGTCCGTATGGCTTACTCTAAGCACACAGCAAAGGGAGCCAACCTAAGGATATGCCTTGGGGCTCATGGGCCTACCCAAGGGCATCCTTAGGTCTGTAAAGACAGCTGGATCAGGGCTGTGCCTCCATACTCCAAAATCCTATTCATATAAAAATTCAGTAGAAATCAATTTTAGCCATAAATCGTAATATCTGGACTGTTATTAGTAATATGTCATAATCATAATAATGAAATAAATCGTATAATTGATTTCCACCTGTACACCATAAGTAGTTCTATGATTATCCCAAGGGAGTGCCTTGGGGCCTGAGAGCCTACCCAAGGATCACCTTAGGTCCGTAAGAAATTTCCAGCTTGATCAGAGCTGTATCTCCAGTCTACCCATATAATATCCCTATAAAACAGTTTTATTAGTAACTAGTATATTTCATGGTCCATAAATCAATAGCCATAATTTTATTCCAATGAAAACAGGGAAACCTGGTAACACATTTCAGGTAACCATAGTTCATAAACCAATAGTTTCCATGATTCCATAAATCAGGAAAAATTCATATTTTTTTCGGTGAAAACCATAATCAGATATCACATACCATGTTGCCATGGTTCATAAACCAGTAAATCAATGATTTCGTTAAAACTCATTTCAAAACATATAAAATCGCCATGTAGTACATGTGGAACACCGTAGAGGATCCAAGTATTATTTTTCAGAGACATTTTGTAACTATCGGAATAGATAATATGAAACTTGTACAATTTGATCGGATTCCAGGAACGAGGTCTTATTCAAGAGAATTGATTACTAAACAATCTATTTAGGTATTTAAGGTTGATACTATAGAATCCCATTATGTTTCATGTGCATCATGGAAGAGTTCAAGAATGACCAGAGTAATTTGAGCTGATAAATGAGAAACGAATATTCAGAACATTTACAATCTATGTCGATTGATCAGATTATGAAACAACTTGAGTTGAACAACTTCCAGAACTGATGCTTGTTGACTGATCAATTCATTGCCTTTCAAGGGTATTCGCTCTTTAACAATTCTTGCTCATAGATCATCTTCGTAATCATCGCTGAATAGGTCTTCCAATGGTCTTTATTTCATCTTCACATTTCAACGATATCAGGAAATGCTGACGTACTTGATTCATGTTCATGACCCATAAAAACAATACATCATACAAGTCCATTGGTATTCCCAGACTCGTCCAATTACTTACTAAATTCTCCCTTATTAAGGTTACTTGGTTCATTTAGTAGTCAAATCTATCTCATTTACTTCAGAGTCTTCCCCGAGTAATTCAGACGCTTCTGAGTTCCGGGTACATGTTGTACTTATGTTCAGTTCACTTTGGTCATATACTTTAAATCATTTTGGCATTAATAGTTGATTTATCTCACGAATATCCATTTCTTAATATCGAATACGCTTTTTAGTTGAGCTGAGCATAGTACTTCCATAATTATCATCATTCTAAACTTGAGGAGACGAACAAGCATTCAAGGGGTACCTATTCCATTCAAGTACTGATATAGCACTAACATTGGTTGATCGGCTTAAGTTGCGTTCCATAACTTTTAAAAGCAGTACAACATCCATGCTTATTTAAATTTCTTAATTAATCCAACACATTTACTTAGTCTAGACCATAAGGGCATTTTGGTCATTTTGGTCCTCAATGTTTTTTTCCATTCATTTCAAAGCTTGAGGATATCTATTCATTTCCTAGGCTTGGTGATATTCATGAGTCATTCCATTCTAGGGGTATTTTGGTCATTTTACAGATCCAGTGTATTTCAATCATTTCCTTCTATCATATCTTATTATTCAATTTAATCTTATCACTTACTTCAGTCATTTCAAACAATTTTGACCAAAGAGAACCCTCGATAATTTATTCTTAGCTAGGAGAATTTCAGGTCAATTTCCTTCTCGGAAATTACAAACAAGTTATCAGAAATTTTCTGTACAAGGACAATATCTTAACAATTAAATCCATAATTTATCGGGTAAGGTACGAAATCTCAGGGTATATTCTCATTCAGGGTCAACTCAGACTATTTATACCTCTCAAGGGCATTTTCATAATTTTATAACCAGATAATTTTGCTTTCCCCGGATAATCTCTAAACTTTAATTTATTCCTCAACAAAACTTCTAGTATCTTGTACAATCTATTTTGGATTTAGAAATCGGTTATCTAGGTTTTCTAAGCAAAACCAGTATTTTATGTATATTCAGTTACCGCATTTTTACTGTATTCAGATCGAGTGTAGAAAATAACTAACTACACAAATGAGACCAAACATTGTCTTATTTAATGCATTTACCAATACCAACATGTTCCATAAAGTATAAAGAGGTAGTAAAATATTACCTCAATTTTCGTAACATACTGATCGACTATTTAAACTCAATTCGAACGTCGTCGATCCTTAATTCAACTTCCAATAATTCCTCAAATACATAATAATATAACTTTCATAAAAAACGGAGCTTAATTTCTGAAAAACGAATCGAATCAGTGATAAATCAGTGAAAACCAGTTTACCGGGTTCAAATTTGACGAAACGGACTTCAAATTCAGATTAAGGACATCGAAAAACATAAATTATAATATTTTTGAAAATGATTTTTCGGTTAAAGTCAACAGGTTTGACTAGAAATTTCGAGACTTTCGGGTCCGAATTTCGAAAAACGGACTGTAGAATTAAACTCAGGATGCCGAAAAATGTCAGAATATGTATACCCGGAAAAAGTCAACAGTCAGTCAGCGCCCGATCAACGCCAGTCAAAGTTCTGGTCAACAGTGGTCAAAGGTCAACGGTCAACAGTTTTACACAAATATCACCCTAACAAAAATTAAGTACATATTAGACATCATTCTAAAAATATTTACAAAACTAGCACCCAATATTTTTTATTTACGGCCATCACTTCTCCACGCGCAGGGGCGGTGCGTACGACGTCGTGGAGTGTCAAAAAATTCTCGGAAAAATTCCTAAAAATTATTTTAAGGCATTTTGAGATACTTACCAAGCTCGGTTCACAATTTTGAACGGTGGAGAGCTCGATTCTGAACATCGAAAACTTTGACTTTCTCACCCTTTCAAGGACTCGGAACGATGCAAGGAACACGATGGTGCGGGAGGTGTCGAAAATGGATGGTCGGATCGACACGAATCGATGAAAGACCAACGAAATTGAGTTAAAACCGACGATACTTCCGACTGAAATTAACGACGACGATTCACAATGAAAGGTTTGAGGGTTTTTGTTCATCAGTCGATAAAGAATACGATGGTGGTTTCGGTTCGTCAAATGGAGGTCGGACGTCAAGTAGATCGGAGTGAAAATGATGATTGAGGGGATGGGAAAAATGAGAAGAAATATGGAAAATCATTAAAAGAGATGGATTTTATTTTCAACGTATAAGAAAAATGGTCAAATTCAGGACTAAGCCACTGAATTTCCTGCACTTCCAAAAATAATCTATAAACTTTAAAATTTTATAATTTAATCATCAATTTCTTTCAAAATACCAATTAAATCCACCACTTTATCATTCTAAAATTTAGCCCCTAAATTGGGGTGTTACAATAACTAAACTATAATTTGAGTAGCAAATGTGTTGGCCGTCTTAAATGGTGCAGCAATTGCAGGCTTGGAATTTATTATTTAGTCCAAATGGAGCATAAGGTCACCAGTGACGAAAGGTAGGATTATTCAAGTATATATATATATACATAAATACATAAAAACACAGGCAAGAGCTCAGGATCTTAAATCTACATTCATATATATATACAACATATGTGGACATATCTGTACGTATAATATGTATGTGTGTGCATGGCGCATGCATGCATGATGCATGAGATGTGATGATTAGATCTGAAAAATTAATGAATCCAAATAGGCAAATAATAATAGGTTAGCCTACATTGGTTAGCCAGAGAAGATGTTTCTTCTTGGACCCCAAACTTGGCTCCCGTTACACTTTGACCAAATGGCTCAAAACTTTGGCATAGCGACTCACCATTCCTTTGAGCTTTGCCCCATTGTTATAGTTTTGGTTTTTCTTCACCAGCTGCAGATGTTGCTCCTCTTCCGAGAAGTGCCGGCCCAGTGAAATCGTGTTACCGCCCGTTTCATTGCCATTGATAAGTAGCTTCAAGCTTTTCCGATCCTTGTCATTGGACTTGGGTGGTTGGGGATCATTCAGTGGCTTCCTGGTTCTCTTGGACAGTGTAACGTCGTAGTGGGGCTTGCTTCCCATTTTCTACCAAACCAAACTACAACTGAGGATTTAAAAGAGGGGCTTGCTTTTTGTTTTTGGTTGGTGAGTAATTATTATATAGAAAAAGGAAAACCCACACGGGAAGTGTACTAAAATGTCAAGATCCAAATTGTTGATTAAAGATGAAATGTCTCCCTCTCTCTCCAACTAAAGATATTAACCATCCCCTCGAGCCGGGAAAACACTGCATACCAGAAGCTGAAATATTACCAACCACACTTCAACATTTACCTCATTCTCATTCCAGAAGCTGAAAATTTTAAATTCATCTAAAGGGATTATGAGAGTATTAATATTGAAAGATGAAAATGAGATGTGTAATAAAATGTCTGATTAAATTTGTTAAATATTAAATAAAAGTAACATAGTTTTAAAAATAGAGATGGAAAGAAGAAGAAAAGGATATTTGACACTGGTTCAACTTTACGAATCTAGATAATTGAACACCATCCCGTTGCGGGTGATGAATAAGCAGAAGTAAATTGTCAAAGATTACTAGGAAAAGGAAATAGCTGGGACTCAACTTCTCTTCTAACTTGGTCTCTTCTTATCTTTCCGGTTGTTGTTAATGGAAATTGGGTCCTCCATAATATAAATCTCTTTGGTATTTTAAACCTGACAAGAGTAGGGAAGAAATGTCTGATACTTCAAAATAAATGTCTTATTGAGTCAAAAGTGTAGGTGAAGTGATCACTGATGTTTGAGTAAATTTTTGTTTTCTTCATTGGTCACTAACGTTATCGATTTATAATAAAACGGTCACTACGTTATCGATTTATAATAAAATGGTCACTCCATCGTTATCTCTATTAAATTAACGACGTAGCACCGTTACTAAAAATGTTAATATTTAGTTTTACACCTAAACTACTGTTAAAACATCAAATAAGTCCTTAAACAATGATTTTATCTAATTTATTCCAAAATCTTTGTAATTTATAGTTTTTCTCAAACATCCCACCATCACAACTATATTCGAGCCACCTTCATTACAAAATGAAAACCACACTACATAGATAAATGAAGTTTTTCCATTAAAGACAAATACATGAGTATTTAAAACATATGTTCAATTAATTTTAATGTAAAAGATAATGCTTTTGGTATGGTTTTCGTTTTATAAGGAAAGTGATTAGAATATTTAAAGACAAACGAGAGTTTACTTAAGTGTACTTTTGTTTTGTAAGGAAAATTGTTAGAATATAATTGAGATGGTGTGGTGTTTAAAAAACTAAAAATTAGAAAACTTTTGGCATAAATCAAATATAAAATTATTGTTTAAGGACCTATTTGATGTTTTAGCAATAATTTAGGTATAAAACTAAATATTAATCTTTTTATTAACGGTGCCATGTCATCAATTTAACATAGATAACGGTAGAACGACCATTTTGTTACAAGCCAATAATTTTAGTGACTAATTTGTTACTTTTGAAACTTCAGTAGAGAAAACATTAATGACCATTGGTGTAGTTTACCCTAAAAGTTTAATAGAGCGTACCCGGTTAAATTCTTTTCTCTACAATAACGTCGAAGGATTGTACTAGACAGGAATAGCTCGTTGCTTTGAACTGAACTGTCATCAGACCACTGCCAATTCTCTCTTAATCGAATGCAAGCGACAACCGTCTCTGCTAGACGAGGATCAGGGATTCCTACAACAATGGAGGAAAGAACTCCGGGATGTTGTATTAACACTGCTTCTACCTATATGATCAAACAGATGAGCATTAGAAGGTAAAGCAAGAATCAATTTTTAAGTGACAGATCAGTAAATTATAGGAATTATATTGATGCTAACCTCTTCAGGGTATATATTTTCTCCTCCACTTTTGATTCGACCATTGGTTCGTCCAACAAGCCACAAGTTACCCTGGTCATCAACGAACCCGATGTCACCCGTGTCTAGCCAAGCTTCTTCGATAGAATCTGATGCCTTTTCTGGAATTTGATCCCAGTATCTTAGCATTACGTGTGGACCTCTGGTGAAAATCTTTCCAACATTAGAAGAGCCATATTTGCGTATTTTTATTTCAACATGTGGAGCAGGCTTGCCGACACAAACACCTCGTATTTTGACAGGACTTGAATTAGTTTCTGCAAACATCTGCAGTGATGTACCAGTTGCCTTGAGCATTGAGTCAAAGAGGGTCGTGAAGGCCAGAGAAGAACATGCCTCTGTCATCCCATAAGCAGAAAGAAGTTTTGCTCTTGGGAATAATTTGATTGCATCTTTAATAATGTTGTCCGATAGGCCTCCTCCTCCATTTAATATCTTCTTCACACTGTCACTTCCTTTCCAACTTCGATTCAGCCTGGTTGATGAGATTAGATCAGCCATTATTGCTGGGACAGTAATTAGAGAAGTCACACAGTGTTGTTCTATGGCTTCGAGGGCTAATGTAGCTTCAAACTTGGGTATGAAGATATGGCAAGCTCCTACCATTAGCATGGCCATGGCTGAGGACAAACCACCAATGTGGCACAAGGGAGTAGTATGTAAATAAACCTGGAAGTAACCAGACAATAAATAGTTAAGAAGTTAGTGGGACTAAAGGAAACAGACGTTACTCCAACTTTTCATTCTTCTTGAGGTATTTCTGTTTGACTCTCTTGTCTGACACATAGGTATAGAGATAACCTCCAAAGACCCTCTACATACATTAAAAACATTAAAAAATCTGATTATACACTTATAGGACACGTATATCTGACACACACCCGAGTCTGGTTAGCATAGGTATGATTCCATCCATATTTATCAGGTAAATCCACTTTGGAACAACCATGTTTGAAGTATTTTACCTCTTCTACAATCATATCCTTTAGATACAGTCAAAATGAATATGCATATTTCTAGAAGAAAGGCGTACATCATCCTCACTGTAACCAACAATTGCCACTTTTGCGAGGGATTGTACAATTAAAGCTGTATGGCTCATCACAACTCCCTTTGGCCTACCAGTAGTTCCTATAAATAGCCAAGGAAAATGAAAACCAAGCGCTAAGATATTTTTGCACATTTAAGGATGTGTGACGAAACTAAAAGCAAAGCTACACTTAAATTTATAGTTAAGACTCATTTTTTTCCTTCTTTGCTTTACTTTATGAAAAAAAAAATGCAGAGAAAACCATTGATAGGGAAAAATTAAGAGTACTTAATATTGCTTAGAAGCTATAGTAGATTTCTCAATTCAAGACGACATATTAATATTCCAAATAAGGAAAACTTAAAGAGTACACAATATTCAAAACACATACCTGACGTGAAGCATATTACAACAGCACCCTCTGGTGCAAATGAGTAATTCATCGATCCAAATCTTACAGATTGCTCCACAAGCATTTCCACAGTTAATACTGGAAAAATGAGGCCAAACCTATCATGGTTATTGATTCATCATATATCCCAAATGTGACTTTATTTTCTACGACATTTAGATGTCAAGACAATATACATACTGTTGCATTTGTTTATAACATCCGAGGAAGGGGAGCTTAATGAGACATGCCACGTTAAAGACGGTATAGATTCACCGTGGGGTGCAGAATGCCAGTGGCAACAGCTTTCATCTGTCACCAACATTTTTGGTCTTATGGTTACCATTGCCATTCTAGCCTCTTCAATGCTCTATATTTAGGAAAGGCGATGCAATGCAAGAAATCAGACAAGATTTCATAGCAGACAACATCTCTTACTCTGCAGAAAACTTATGACAAACCCATTCAACCCTAGTGAGGAGATTCTATATTATATTTTACATTCCTCTCTTGTGAAGAAATTCACGACGGAAAATGTTAAAACAACAACCATTCAATGATACAAATTTATGTTGACTAGTTTATGAAACATACCTATGAAAAATTCATATGGAACATACAAACCACAATATTCCCAATTCCAAGAGAAATTTGAAATGTGGCAGCAAATCCAGTCAATAGTTAAGAATCTATTCAGCATAGGAATACTTAAGATCCCAAACAAACTAGATTTAAAACAAAACTCCTCTTATTCTCTCGCTCAAACAAATTAAACAAACTCTGAATACTTGATATAGGAAGTTAAAGCGACTGTTAAAAGAAACTGAGATACTAACCCATCGATAATTCAAAGGAGCAACTATGCCTCCAATAAATGCAACAGCTAGTATCCACTCTAGATACCAATCACTGAAACAGCATGAATTTAATATCAGGAGGAGCAATTATAAGAAAATAAATAACACGCATATGCATCATGCCTCGACTTCACTCGGTCGGACACTTTTTTCTCTTCCTTGCTCATAAAGCATCAAGGGTTAGGTTTCTAGGGCCTAGTCTGTACCCTGCGCTCTTAACACAGTCACACTAGAGATTTTACAATGTCTTCAATATAAATAAAAATATGACTTGAAGCACTTTCAGGTTCAAATTTTGCAAAAAAATATAATTATTTAGTCAAATGAGTTTATAAATAGCAATTTAGGAACCCAAGGAGTGATTCCGGTGACAAAGAGTGACATGTTCGCCCAGATGACCTGAATTGAAGCAACATTGCATGCACTGTGTGTGTGAATTCATCCAAGCAAGAAACAACATGACAAGGTACTATTATGGAGCTACAAAAGAATGCTTAAATAAACAACAGCGTTAAAATTTCAAACACAAGTAGAATGTTGCAGCTAAACAAACTTGTGTTGCGTAACGAGCTCCCAACCGAAAGATTATAAATTAATTATATGATAAATATTCGAGCAGTAATAAATCTTTTCAATGGTTTCCATTTTTGAGTAAAAGAAGATTATCTAGTAAAATTAATAATTAAAAGAATTATTCTATTAGCTATTTGAACAACCAAATATTAAGTCAATTGATTTGAGCCAATGCTTATTATTGAATCCACGAATTAAAATATTATTATTTGTTTTATTTGCTACACCTATATCATGAAATACATAAATTATATTTAAGTGACATTCTGAAATTCTAAGTTTGAATATTTCATCAGCTCAGACTTTTATTTAATTCAAGTTTTATAAATATTTATTAACAAATTAATAATATAAATAAACAAAACCATGATCCTCACATGGAATAATTTGCATGCTTAAACATGATAAACGATCTTTAATTTATAAACTTAGAATAATATCAATTAATTAAATGAGTCAATGAGAAACAATGTGTGTAATGTTGTCATAGATTAACACATTAGAATTTGATTTTTAAGCTAATGTCAAGGCATGCCTTCGTCATAAAAAAATAGTATTTCACACCCAACACGGTCAACAAAAGATAAAGCAAGACTGCGTTTGGCAAGAAAAAGAATTGACGGTCAGTTTCCGTCGTTGAAAAATGCAATTGGAATTTGAAACTGGAAAATTTCCGGAAAGAACCTGTTGAAAGCAGAGATTGCAACAACATCGCCGTTTCGGAGGCCAAGTCGGAGCAGGCCACGAGCCAGACACAGGACGCTCTCAACGAACTGCTGGCCGGTTTTCTGGCGGCCGCCGCTGATAGTAACGAACGAGTTACGTTTTTGGGTGGCCAAACGGCTTAAACACTGGCAAACATGGGCCTCCGAGAAAATTCCCATACGAGTGGTGAATAGAGATTTGACGTTGCGGAAAATGAAGGAAAGCTGTTTCCGAGTTTTGAATGATATGGACACAGAGAGGTTGAAAGTGCGGCTTATCTTATGAAAGTGAACGGTTCCCTTTTCGCCTGCTGTGATGGTTTGGCATTTCACAATCTCTTTTCATTGGACCTCAATGACTTCCACTTATCAATCGGAGCGTTGCATTTCTGTCTTTTGGCTTGACTATTAGTATAACTAAAAAACAATATCATAAAGGCAATTCTGCATCATATATTACCAATTTATATATATATATATATATATATATATACTAAATCCTATATTTGTTCTCTTATCTAAATTCAAAATAGAGATGATTATACAAGTTTTTCTCCATGTAATATCTTTAATTATTGTTTCAAATGGGATTAGTTTAAAGATAGACGTTAACCACAGGTGATTTGCGGCTTAAAAAGAAATCAAGGATCGAAAAAGACAATACAAGGCAACATCAAAAAATTATTTCCCTGTGTGTGTCATGAAAGATTCCATAATTTATTCGAACACACGACATGAATCAATACCTTAATTTAATGATTGATCCAGTCCACTCCAAATAAAATGTTCACTTCAGAACAAATTATTGCCTATATTCAAAATTAACACCCACAGGGCAAATTGAAGCCAATATACACTACACATGCTTACTGATCGAGAGGCAGCCACTCTAGTTCTACATAAATTTCCCCGGATTCAACATTTTGGAGCTGGAGTGATACTTCTTGTTTCACCCTCCCATCAACGATGTTGACGATGCTATCTTCAATAAGGGCATTATCATTCGACTTCAGCCATTTTCCGATCTGCATATCCCCGAACATTTGCGGATTACCGTACGACATTGCAGATGTTATCAAGGGCTGGATAACGATCTCTGCTTCTCCCATCATATCATCCGCTGAGAACGTGTCATGATCATATACTTGCTACAGTGTAGAAGCTCTAAAGATTAGAGAAACTCGATCGTAACTATGCTTAAGATGGCAGGAAATCTTGTATGAATGAATGAATAATGCAAGCATCGGCAGATCAATCACATATCTTGTCATCGTAAACAACAAAAAGATTAAACTAGCATAATAATAACACCGGCCTGTTCTACTGTTGGCTCTTATGACTGCCATTTTATCTAAATATCTTTGAATTGGAACAACCCAAAGCCTGGAAGACTAAAACCCAGCCAACATGTAGCGAAACAAACCAGAACCCAACTCATATGACTTGACCCAAATCCAACTCAATAAGCCTTATCACCATGTACAGATCTACATAAATAGGTAGAACCACAACTATCATATTTAATGCATAAAGAAGGTAATAGTTATTAAAAGACAGTAGTAGTAATACTTTTTTAACTACAAAATTTCTTTTATTAAGGAAACGAACTACATAATTTCTGAATAACTGAGATTAGGTGGAAAAGAACTACACTTACCAACTTCACAGGCCTGTAGTTGGTAGGAACGGATAGCATGAGTTCCTCATTCCAAACTGGATTCAGGTCGCTTGATTTTACAGTCGTCTAAACAGTCTAATAAGATCAGAAGTCACCCATTGATATCATGAGCTAAACAAGGAATCATTCATAACAACTAAATCTTATTTTGGTAGGAAAACAAAAACATAAGAAAACATGTAAAGCATCCCAACAGGTACATGTATGCACTACCAATCTACGTTGATTATTTTTCTTTAAGTACTTGTGTCTGATATGCAACTGGAAATAAGCATAGAAATTTAACCTTTCAAATATTACTCCAACCAAATACATGGAAAAACTTGAAAAAAAATTAAACATAACCATGTTGGATGCATACCCACCCATATCAAATACAGGAAGTTCGAGTAACATAAGTAGCAAGTAAGAGGACAAATCCACAATACTACCAACTGAATGGTACTAACAGCTGGTCAATAGCTGTGTGATTTATCTCTAAAGTGCTAGACTCTTAAGGTGTTTTTGGGTGAAAAAAAATTAAATTTTTGGAGATTTTAAAAATCTAGCATCTATGATGTTTTATTTGGATAAATAATTATTTAAAAAAATAGGCTATTACATTTTTTATGAGTTTAGAAAATAATTATAAAAGAAACAGAATGATATTAAAAATAAATAATCTAAAAATATGAAATATGGATATCATTAGATTTGTAAAAATATATAAATATTTTAATAATATAAAATATAAAAAATATACATTAGAGTTAAATAAAATGATATTTAATTATTTTTTTATAGTGGGCTCAGCAGCTCAGGTGCATTAAATGGAATAAGGTTAGGAGGAACTTTAAAAAACCATCTATTTAGATGGGATTTGAATAAGGGATTCGGACTATTGAAATTCCCTTTTAAAATTCCTAGTAAAGTTTATAATTTCCTATTATTCTGACCCAAACAAGAAAGTTCATTTTTAGGATTTTAAAAACCTTGATAAAAATAAATCTACTCGAAATTCCTCACCCAAATACATCCTTAGTTTCAATGATCAGGAGCAAAATCCACGTGCAGATGTCATACTGATTAATCTACAAGCATAAAGCCCACAAACCCATGTACATACACACAGAGAAGAGAGACAAAAGAAATAACATAATTTATAAAGCGATCCACAGATTGAGATAGACAAAAGAAAGAAAGAACACAATGTATAGCCTTGACAAACTTCATGAGAATAAAACAAACGAAAGGAAGCAAGTAACCTGCTGCCCAAGAGTTAGAAGAACATAAGGATCACTTGTCATCATATCCCGGATGGCTAAATTTGTGCCCTTTTCCACTGTGACCTTTAGTATCCCAATAAGTTCAGCCCTCCCTGTTATCACTTTCAGGTCAAACTAATTGAAGTTATGAAGTGCGGCACCATGTTAAGTACATCTTGTGGTATTCAAATTGTTGGTGTTAATACTGACTTGACTTCTCTCACAAAAATATAGTCGCAACTGGCAACATTTCACATGAGCCTTTGGCAAGTTTTACTGGTAGATCTTTCAAGGTTCAAAGAGAAAGGTGTTATTAACAGGAGTGTAAGGGATACAAGATCTTACAAGGAGGCCTTACTGTCTGATAGATTGAAGAACAATGCATCGGACCATAGGGATCGGTCGATCGATGGTTTCAACAGGAGGAAAGGTATAAAAAATAGTTGGTAAATGCATATTCCGTCTGAGAGCTCCAGTTGGGTGAAGAGATCATTAACGGGGATCATCAAACATTCTTTTGAGTTCGAATTAGTCCAGAAGGCCTTAGTTAATGAAGGTTTTGATGTCCAGATCTCCAGATGGGGTTATGTCTGGAATTCGTGTGTTATTACATTTAAGTCGACTGAAGAAATGATGGATGCATGGCTAGAGAAAAAGGATGAGTTATTTTTCTGGTTTGATAGGTTGGCACTTTTATTGAACGATGATGGTGTTCCAATGGCTTTTTGCCTTGTACATCTGTTTGGGGTTCCATTGTTATGTTGGCAAAATTCCTTTTTGGAACGAGTAGCAAGAAAGTGGGGATTGGTGGAAGAGATTCATGAAGATACAGTTATCAGAGCAGACCTATCGATGGTGAAGATTTTGGTTAGGGTGGCCAGCCCTTATGACGTCCCTGAGGAGATAACTATTGGATCCTATGGAAGATCGTTCAAAGTTAAGATTAAGCTGGGTTCGGTGCTTGAGTATTCTTCCGTTTCCTTTAACAAGTCGCCGGTGGGAGGTTCCGACGATAGACAATTTGGTGAGGAATTTTCTGGAGACAAGGTTGACAGTAGTCTGTCAGATAGCATGGAAAGTGCTGAACGTTCAGAAGAAAACAGCAGACAAAAGGTAGATATCTGGTTTGACCAAGGAGCTAACACGGGTTTGGTTGGAGTTGGTGAGGAAATTCAACTCCCAACGTTTAACAAAGTTGGGAAAGGCATTAATTGTGTGCTGACAGCGTGTCAGGATCTTGGGACTAACAATTTTGGTGAATACGCGGGTTTGGGATGTAGATTTTCAAATTTTTCGGCTGATGGGTCTATAGCCCAATCATCAGATAATGGGCAACTTGGTTCTCCACCTCTAAAAATTATTCCAGCTGGGCCTGGTGTTAAGCTGGATAAATTTGGGAAAATGGACCAGAAGCAGTTTCTGGTTGAATCTGCAAACTCAAAGGAAGATAAAAATGGAGGTCTGCCACTTTCTGGTTTGAGAAAGTGTTCTAGAGGATTGGAATCAAATTTAGAGGAAAAGCCGATTGACTACATTTTATGGTCTGGAAGTAAGATTTCCAGGGGAAGAACGCTTGATCGATCCAACTCTCCATTGACTACAAAGAGTGAACCGTTGGAAAAGAGAAGTATTAGCTTCAAAAGGGTCTACAAGAGATCCAGGGAGAGAAGACATTGGTTAGAGAAAGATGAAATTGTTGTTCCTCGAGAAGAGGAATCTCTAGAGAGGCTAAATGGGAAGATTTTGGATCCTAATTCAGTTCTGCCGGTCAGTGCAGTTGCAGAACCTAATTTGGAAGGCTGTATGGGGTCTACTTTGGAGAGACAGGTTGTTGACAGCAGTTTGGATAGTATGTGGGAAGGGTGGCACTTAGAAGGAGATAGTTATTCCTTCAACTCTAAGTCCTTTAATAGAAGAGCCAAAAGATTGTTGACCAGATTGGCATTGGATCAAGTTAGCATTGAAACAGTTTCTTCTTCAGATTTTGTTATTCTTTTGGAGGAAGCTATAGCTACTTGGGAAATCAGTAATAGATTGGGTGTGTCTTTCAAGGGTGGGAAATCAGCTTTTTTGGAGAAAATCATAAAGTTGGAGGAGGATTTGAGGCTGGTTTGATTTTCGGTGTTTATTGGGTTTTCTAATACTTATTTGAATCATGATGAAATTTCAATTAGCCATTATTACGTGGAACGTTAGGGGTTTGAGAAGGAAGGAAAAACACAGAGCTGTTCAAAATCTAGTTTTAAAGAGACGTCCTATTCTTCTTCTATTGCAAGAAACAAAAGTGGAGAAGGTTCAGAGACAATTTCTAAGGAGAAGTGGTTTGAATACTCTTCAAGGTTTTGCAGAATCTCCAGCAGTGGGTTCTTCTGGAGGGCTATTGAGTTGCTGGGATGAGTGCTCTTTTGAAGTTGACAACCTTATTATAAACAGAAGGTTTATTGCAGTTTTTGGAAAGTTTCGAACTTCACAGTTTAGATGTGGTTTTATTAATGTTTATGGGCCTAGTATTGAAGAAGAGAAAACAAGCTTCTTTGAAGAGTTAGCTGTTTTTATTTGTGGACTGAATATCCCTTTATGTGTGGGAGGTGATTTTAATGTGCATCTTTCTGAAGAAGAGAAGGTGGGGAGAGCTCCAAACAGAAGTTCAATAAGAATTTTCAGCCAATTTCTGCAACATACAGGGTTAATTGATTTACCCTTACATGGGGGCAGATTCACTTGGTGTAACAACCAGGATTTACCCACCTATGTTAGACTGGACAGGTTCCTCGTTGATGTTCATTTCCTAGAAGCATTTCCTGATGTTACACAATACTTGTTGCCAAGGTCAATGTCAGATCATAATGCTGTTTTTCTGGAGAATGAGGGGGCAGTTGGGGGAAGAAACCTTTCAAACTCTTTAATTATTTGATGGAAGAGGACGGTTTCCAGAATTTAGTTGAGTCTACTGTTAAAGAATGCAAGTCTGATCAGAGGAAAGCAGGAATTCTATCTATCCTGAAATCTACTAAACTGTCGATCAAACAATGGGCGGGGAAGAGAGACCATTTTCCTTCTGTAGAGATTACAGATTTAGAAAAGAGGATTCACTTGGAAGAGGTGAACTTGCAGCAGAGGCAAGGTACATATGTTTGGGACAGAGGATCAGATTTGAACAATATGAGATCAGAATTATGGAGGTTGTATAAGATTGAAGAACAAATATGGTTTCAAAAATCGAGAACTAGATGGGTGGAAGAAGGGGACCGCAATACAAGATTTTTTCATACTTGTGCGTTGATTAGGAGAAAGAGGAATTCCATGAATGCTTTGAATGTCAATGGAGAGATAACTCAAGATCCATCTGTCATCAAAGCTTGTGTCAAAGATCATTTTTTTGGAATTTACAACTCTAGTTCTACTTTGGAAGTAGAAGATATGAAGATGAATTTTTCAAAAATTTCAGTGGAGCAAAGTAATATTCTGGAAAAAGAATTCACGGAGGAAGAAATATGGGAGACTCTACAATCATGTGATAGCAACAAAGCTCCCGGCCCGTATGGTTTTAATATGGGCTTCTTCAAGAAATTTTGGGTTGTTCTTAAGGTTGATATTCTGAAATTCTTTCATAACTTTTATTTAGGGAAAGATTGGGAACATGGAGTAAATCATACTTTCATTACTCTTATCCCCAAGGTGGCCAATATTGGTGGATTAGATGACTATAGACCTATAAGCCTTGTAGGAGGTTTGTACAAGATCCTCTCAAAATGTCTTTCGAGGAGATTAAGGAATTGCATTTCTGATGTAATGAGCCCTATGCAGTTTGCTTTCATTCCAGGTCGTCAAATTCTGGATTGTTCTCTTATAGCCAATGAGGGATTGATTTTTGGAGGAAAAGGGACTCAAAGGATGTGTGTTTAAAGTGGATTTTAGAAGGGCATACGACACTGTGGATTGGTCTATTCTTTTTAAGGTTATGGAGAAAATGGGTTTCGGTTCTAAATGGAGAAGTTGGATAAAACAATGTGTTACTACTGCTTCTATTTCAGTTTTGATAAATAGGGTACCTTCTCAGGAATTTCCTATGGCAAGGGGTCTCCGCCAGGGCTGTTCTCTTTCGCCCTTGCTTTTTAACTTAGTTGGGGAACTCCTAAATGTCTTGCTCTTAAAGGCTGTCTCTGATGGATTGTTTTCTGGTCTGCATATTGGGAGGAATGAGACTGCTTTCAACTTATCTCATCTGCAATTTGCAGACGACCTAATTATTTTCTGTGGGGCTTCGAAAATGGAGATTTCAAATGTTAAAAGGGTCTTAAGAGTGTTTGAAGTTATGTCTGGTCTGCAGTTGAATCTTAAGAAAAGCAAGTTATTTGGTGTTAATACGGCTACAGAGGAGGTGGAGGAGTGGGCGTCGTCTATTGGCTGTGCAGTGGGGAAATTTCCTTCTGATTATCTAGGTCTGCCGCTTGGTGCAACACGGAATTCAACCTCTCTTTGGGATCCGGTTGTTTCAAAATTTAACAACAAACTAGCAGGTTGGAAAGCTGCCACCCTTTCCTTGGCAGGGAGATTAGTTTTGATTAAATCGGTTCTCTGTTCTCTTCCTACTTACTACTTGTCTATATTCAAAATTCCATCATCCGTAACTTCTAAACTCAACTCAATCATGTCTAAGTTCTTATGGGGAGATGGAGCGGAGAAAAATAAGATTCATTGGGTTAGTTGGCTTAACGTGTGCAAGCCAAAGGAGGCTGGTGGTTTAGGAGTGTTAAATATTAGCAATATGAACAGAGCACTATTGGGGAAATGGTCTTGGAGATTTGCTAATGACAAGGATGTTGTTTGGAGGAGAATGATCTGTTCAAAACACAATATTGATCCTTTTTCTTTATTGTTCAATAGCAAAATCCCAGCTCAAGCTTCTTGGATTTGGAGCTCGGTGGTGAATTCTTATTTTAAAGAAGACTCTTTTGGTTGTTATTTCCGCAGCATGTTCAGACTAGGAGTTGGGAATGGTCAATTTATTCAGTTTTGGCAGGACAAATGGGCAATGGACTGCCCTCTTAAGGTTTCTTTTCCGAGGTTGTTCGCAATCTCTACAAACCAGTTTGGAAAACTGATTGAATTTGGCGAGTTCAGTTCTTTGGGATGGATCTGGAATATTCAGTTGAGGAGAAGCTTAGCTGATTGGGAATTTGAACAGTGGGCTAACCTGATGGCTATCATTTCTAATTTTTGTCTGTCTAAAGAGGCAATCGATGGTCTGATTTGGAAAGGAAACGGAACTGGTGTCTATTCTGCTAATTCATGTGTGAAGACTTGTTCTTTGGCTCAGAAGGAGGATTATGTTTGGAAGAATTTTGTGTGGAAAGGTCTGGTGCCACCAAGAGTCGAGATATTCATGTGGCAGGTAGTTCTTCAAAAACTGCCAGTGAGGTCTGAACTGGTTAAGAGAGGGGTTACGAGTATAACAGATCTTTCTTGTCCTCTATGTAATTTGGAGGTTGAATCTTCTTCTCATTTATTTTTCTCGTGTTCAGTTGTGTGGTCACTTTGGAACAAATTTGTGCAGTATTGGAGTCTTTCTGTGGTTCTTCATACAAATGCGCAGAAGTTTCTTCAAGCTTGGGAAGATCTAAATCCTAGGTCTGCTATTTGGAAGTTCATTCCTGCCGTTGTTATTTGGACTGTTTGGAAAGTAAGAAATGATATTGTTTTTGATAGAGGGAAGTTTGACCATCTTAATCTATTTTTCCTAGCAAGAGTACGACTTGCATCTTGGTTCTCAGCTAAGTTTGCAGATTCTGTTATTTCAATGGATTCTCTAATCGGGGACCCTTCTCTTGGGGATTCATGCTTTCCTCTCAACAAATCGATTGTTACTACAATTCCTTGGTCCCCCCCTCCTAAGGGCTTTGTAAAATTGAATGTGGATGCAGCTACAAATTCTGATTGGAACAGCAGTGGAGTTGCGGGTATTCTAAGAGATGAGGAAGGTCTTATTCTAGGATCTTTTAAGGAGGCCACGGGTCCAGGTCCACCTATTATGATGGAGCTAAGGGCTATTCAGAAGGGCTTAATTTTCTTTGATTCAGTGAAAGGAGGTATTAATGGTCGTTTGTTGTTAGAATCAGACTGCAAATTGGCAGTGGATTGGGTTAAGAATGGAACTTTCTGCCCTCAGATTTTTGTCATTCTTGTAAGGAACATAACAATTAAGCTAAAAGAAGTTGAGGGTGTTATTAGATGGGTTGCTCGGACAGCCAATATTGAGGCTGATGGGTTGGCTAAATCCGCCATTGGCTAATTCCAGTGTGTAGGGGTATTTTATGTTGGGATTTTCAAATTGTTGTAAGGGGCTTATCTTCTTGTTGTAATCTTATGTATTTTCATTAATGAAGTTTAAGGCACTCTTTTCCTCCTTCCTCTGATGAAGGAACTCATTATAAGTTCCTTATTCAAGAAGGGGGTTTTTAATGAGGCCTACAATTCCTATCAAAAAAATAAAATAATTGTGGACCTAGACAAATAAATTGAATGCAGGTATCCTACAAACAGGATGATATAAAAGAATCCCATGTAATGTTCAGTTCATGCTACTCAACAAGTGACCATATTCTCTTAAAATCAGTAGCAGCATGAACTTCCTTGTTCCCAAGACCATCAATCAGATTGGAAGAAACAAAGAACATAAGAATTTACCGAATTCTGTGATGAATTTGACAGGATAGTATCAAGAATCTTTCCAGAAAGGTTTGATTGATTAGAAGAAGAAGAAGAAGAATCCCTTCCTGATGTGATCCACAAGCTAGCTTTCACAAATTCTTGTTGTTCATACTTGGCCCTGCAGGAAAATTTGAAATAAGTAATTACTATAACATCTAAGTGATGATAATCTATCAAATCTGCTATATGGAAACTAGGTTAAACGGTAGGCCACAATAAGGTCACTGCAGTTTATGACACTGGTTTTCTATCTTAACCCAGTAAAGTGTACCCACAAAAGGCTGGTAAATGAAAAATAGTTTTTGAACACATACAGCACCGGATATAAGTGAGAAAGAAATACTCAAATTGTGAGATTGTAAATTGTCTGAAATCTAACTTAATGAATCTACTCCGCTCATCATTACTAGCATTTGGACCAGGCTTTTTATAACCTTCAGTTATATAAGCCTCATAGATTGAATTAGCAGCAGAATTTCCACCAACTTCAATCATGGCCTCAATTTCTTCATCAGACCATTCATCCAATGTCACAGATAGAACCTGAAATCGTTGGAAAGTAAAAAAAAAAAAGCTACAAATAAACAAATGAAACTCTAAGCAAACCAAAAGACACTAAAATGAAGTTTGAAGTATCGCATATTATGATGTAAGATGAACCGTAAGCATGATATATATAGACATCAATGAGGTCATGACGATGATATAACATTAAAAGTAAAAAGAAAAGCATAGCGCTCTAAGTTAAGCCAAAAAATGGGAAATTTCATCCCAATTTACCACAGTGGAAAAATTCTATAAGTATAATGTCCAAGTTAAGCCCTTAATGGAAACTTTTGTTACTATATACCACTGTTAACAGATTCGACAAAGATAACATAAACATGTGAAAGAGTTCAGTTAAACATATGAAAACTTCAACTGTCACACACAAACCTCAGCTGATATGATTAATCCTCAAGATAATTAAATTTTAATCTTGGTTCATGAATGTTCTCCCGATAATCAACCAGACTAAGCCCAGGGATGCTTTCAAGAAATAAAAGTATGTGAACTAACAAAGCAGTTATCTCAAATAGGCTAGCAGTAGACTATTAGTTAGCATTTTAATAATTATATTTGTTTTTTTTCCCATTTATATCCTAAAGCATTTTTTCTATCAACTGTGTAAATTCACAGGCATGCTGCTGGTTCTATTATCAAGACACACCCATTACTCCATACTTGAATCATCTACTTTTACTGATTTATCAAATTTATTGCACCTTCAATGCTAAACCTCAGATAAATAAATTGCCTATGAGAAATTATACAACCAATTAACGCTGTATACAATAAATAGCCAACAAAAAACCCCTCAAACGTTTCCCAACCAGGAATCATTCCATGAGAAAAACTATACATTACATGCAAACATATTAATCACCTTGGAGATGTGTGGACCAAGGCTTCTGTGCACACCGCAACATTTCAAGCATAAAAAGACTCCAATATTTGCTGATCTGAAAATACAATTTTCAAGGGATTTTCTCAATCCTTTCTTGTGAACATATACACATACGCATGCATCAATTTGCCAAAGAGACATGTATTCATCAGGTGCTCTTATCTCCTATTCACAGGATAAGAAATGAATAGGCAAACTCTAAATATGCTTTAACATCAGAACTTACGCCCACTTTGGATCTCGAGACTGCAATCAGCACAAGTGCGGTTATCAGTTTGATTCAATAAGCTCCTCAATCTCACTTTAGCTGCACAAGAAATGCATTTTCTATGAAATTCAGTAAAATGTAAGGAATACCAAAGATGCATTAATATTAAAAAAAAGTGATTTTACCTATAAAGGTTAAATTTACAAAAATGGAGATTATCTGACATCTTATACTCAATGTAAATCCAAAAGGTGAACCATTAAGTTTTTAGTGTTTGACAGCATAAAACCAGGTTATAAGTGTTCAACTTTTGTGGCAAATCCAATTTCTTCAAGGTAGAAAATAAAAGAAATGAGTGGCATCAAGGATAGGAATTTTTCCCTTTATTCTCGAACATCATTGCATTTCTTAGGCCTTCATAAAAACAAGTTTTACCCTTTGCAGTAAATTAAATAAGTTGACAACTGAATTATACAAAGCCAAAGCCAAAAGATAGTTTCTTTAAGAGCATTACATTCTTTTCACCTTATTTTATTTGACTCGGGATGCACAGGCCAACCATAAAATATTTTGACCAAGACAGTAAGATCTCAAGCAATAACTTTGAGAAATGTGTACGCAAATGTCCCATACATGATGCATACCTACTAGTTAAAAATTTTGCATATTATTGTACATTCGCAAGTTTTGAAGGGAAGCTTAACCAAAAATTATTAACGTTTACTCAAAACTTCCCAAGCTATCTGATCCCTTAGACACTTGCTATTTTCAGGGAGAACATGAATATAATCCTATTTCAAATCATTCAATTGCATTGACTGAATACGAGCATCACGGATGGATGCAAGATTAGCATACCTGAGGTAGTCCTTTTTACTCCACTCATTTCTTTGCTACCAACCCACAATCATCCAACAAGGAAGCTTGAAAACTGAAGAAGAAAAAAATCAATCAGCTGAAAGTATTTGTTTTTTTTTTTTTGGGGGGGGGGCGTGTAATTTACTAAAATTTAAGACTATTCTCTGTTCCTATTGTGCTTTAAATAATCACTATTTTTTCCATTCACGGCCTCAAAATCAATTACTGCATTCTTAAGAGGAGATACCAGAGTAATATAATAACCATAAAATCAATTATTGTCGGACAAATAAAAACTTAAAAAATAAATAGAAAAAACTAAACGAATACTAAAACTACAAGGTGGGGGATGAGACAGAAGCCAATTAAAGTTTTTTTTACAAAAAAATTGCAATTTTTTCACTTTCCCATAAACAGATATAACACAATTGTTAATTTTGAATAAATCGGGCAAAAAATGCAAAGTGTTAAAATAATTACTTTATAATATGAGATTAAAAAGTTTGTGGATCATTGGCAGAAACCAATGAAAAAACAGAGAATGAAACGCAAGATCTGAAAGAGGAGTTTGGGGACTTACCACTTGTTGAAATAGAAAATCCAAAGAGAACCAGAGTCAGATTTAGGTAAGAGGGAGAAGTATAAGCTTTAGGGATTTTAGGTGACATTAAGAATGTCTCTTATATGTTATGGTTTTTGTTAGCTTATATTGGGAGTTGGGGGGGGGGGTATGAGTATGATCAAAACTTGAAGTGATGGAATATGACCGGCAGAGAAAAGGCCTTCATGCTATATTTTAAATATTGGACAATTATTACAATGAAATTAAATAATTTAAAAGGTATTAATTTGCGTGTGCAAAATTTAGTTTAATTTAAAAATAAATTTAAATTGTCTCTCCCTCTTTTTATCTTAATTTTTTTTAATATTTTTATGTCGTTTTCTTGTTTTTTTTTATTAGTTAGTGACGACACTAATCTTAATAGTTAATATTAATTGTCGACCACCAAGATTATTAGTTCTCTTGTTTTTATTTTCTTCTTTCTCGAGTCTTTTTACTTTTGAATAAGAATCTCTGTTTTTGTGACACGTTTTTCTCTGCTCTTGTGGCACGCATTTTCTCTGCTCTTGTGACACAATCCCTATGGTTTTGATACATTTTTCCCATACCTTTGCAGTCGTTTTTGTTCTCGCACAAAAAACATAACGACATTTATTTTTTAATTAGTTTGTCGGTGGTCACGTATAGTCAGATCCCCTCTTTTGGTAGAAAGTTGTTTATCAGAATTGTATAGCGAAGTAGCCTGCTGGATTATTTGGTTCGCTCTCCACTCCTTTATCACTCCGTAAACGTCCCATTTGACAGAGACAATGAGTTTTATGAAGGTTATTGAGTTTAGATTTTATCATCATTCTCGATGGAAGGTTTTATTTTTTCTCATATCTTTAAGTTCAATATTTTACTTTTGTATGAGTATTTTGACAATTATTGTCTCTAAATTTTTCTCTATGTCTCACTGTGTTGTAATTTTGATTCTTTCTGTTAATAATAAATTTCGGTTGCTATTTTAAAAAAAAAAAATTAAAAGGTTCCAATAAAATAAAGTGATTATGGAATTTGAAGTTTCCGACCTTTGACTTTAAATTTTGGTGTTTCATGAATTAATGTTGTTTCTTAACATATTCAAATATTTGTGTAATGTTATATATCTATACCTATACAGGAAAAAAGTTTATATATGTCTTAAAATTTTATTATGTTATTCATTAATTTATTTTGCAAAAACCTTTTATCACTTCGTCTATAATCATTTGATGATTTAATTTTTAACAAACAAAAGTATTTATATTAAATATTTACTCTATTTATATTTATACTAATTTTTTTTTTATAATCACTGGTATCTGATCTATTAATTTATTAATATTTATATTAATATTTTAATTTTTAAAGTAAAATAATAAAAAAATAAGAATTAAAATGATTATATATATATATACTTATTTTATATCTATATTGTTTTCGAGACGAACGAGTCGGACATCGGTAATTATAAAAAAATTGCAATGAGAGGTTAAAAATTGATGAAACTATTTTATTTGAGAAGCTTTGTTTCGTTTAATTGTGGCTCGGCACAACTTATTTAATTATTCTTCAGGATAAAGTATTCTGGGTGGTATTAAAACAATCATAAAATGTAAAGACTTTAAAGTTTATTGCACTAAATATGAAGCCTATCTCAATTATTCAATCCCAGAAAGGTACGCAGGCAGCTAAGCTTAAGCTAAATCAAGGTTTCCATGTGAACCCCATAAATAAATAATTGTCTTCAAACAGGGCATGAGCTTGGGTTAAAATCCTGGAAAGCAAAACTAATAAACTTCCACATGCCACTGTTTGTTCTTCTTCAGCTGTGAAAGCTTCTCATCCCAAATCTCTCTTCTCTGCTCCGCAACTCTCTTCAGCGTCTCTTGGATCCCGGGCATCATTCCCCTGAGCCCGCAGAAATATATATGGGCTCCCTCATCCAAGAGCTTGAAAATTTCATCACTGTATTCCTCCATCTTATCCTGAACATACATCTTGCCTCCACTCTTGTTCTTCTGCTCCCTGCTAAGAGCTCGATCATATCGGAACTGATCAGGGTACTCCTCTAGGTATTTGGTAAACTCATCATCATAAAGGAGACTGTCACTGTTGGCAACCCCAAGGAAAAGCCATGCAAGGCCACGGAACTTGAATGTAACATCTTCCATGAACATGCGGCGGAGGTAGCCCCTAAAGGGAGCTACACCAGTTCCGGTGGCTATCATTATGTGGTTGGCATTTGGGTTATCTTCAGGCAAAAGCATTACTTTGCCAGAGGGGCCTGCCAAAATATTATACTGTAGTTAATTTTAGAAAACTAGTATGATCCAACCACCAAATAACCTGTAAAATCTATAATTTAACCAATGCCAACAAGTGAAAAAGAACATGAATAGACAATCTTACCTAAGCAAAATTACTAAAATAAGAATCAGTATTTGATAGGACAATGGGAAAACAACATTAGTTGAAACAAATGAAGCGAATAATGCAAAATTGGCTGGAACATAAGCACTTCAGCAATCATATGGTTGGGTGTTACGATACAACTTACAAAGCTAGCAGTAGAGCAGAAACAGTATTTGTTTTCTGAAAAATAGCTTTCTGTAATGCAATTTCATTCATTCCAATTGATAAGAGTAGTGAGTGCTAGATGTCAAATGCATGGTAGGATATCTAGCCATGACTCTATATTAAATATTAGCATATAGAAAAAGGTATAGACGTTCCACTTTATTGAAGGATCGTACCAGTGATCTGAACTTTATCTCCAGGCTTGGAGTTGCATAGGAAATTGCTACAAATACCACTTTTTGAAGGATCCTCCTTTCCCGTCTCAGGGTCATAATAGACAGCACGGCGGACACACAAACTGGCTGTCTTGCCATCAAAAGAATCTCCATACCTGGTTGACGCAATGGAATACAGGCGAACATTGTGGCAAGAACCTGGTTTCTTTGGATTTTCGCCCTATGATACAAGAAAAAAATGAGAATTGGAACAAAGTAAATGGGAAACTTTAGAAGAGAAATCAATAAAAATAAAACAAGTTCTAAGAAAGCATATGACTTCATTCTATGAGAATGACAGGCACCAAAGCATACAACTGGACAAAAACAGTGAATTATAATTAGCCATGATAAACATTTCAATCCTCACATTCAAAAGTCAAATCCCTATGCTCCAAACATTATAGTTCATTCAAAAGCTAACATATTCTACTGCACCAAACTATCTGAAAACAACAATAATTACAAAACAGCAACGTATAGAGGTAACAAACTTACAGGAGGGATAACACCATAGCTCTGCCCTTCCCAGTATGGAACATTACCACCATGGTCAATCACAATATGGCAAGTCTCACCGGGGGCTTTTGGACCGACAAGTCTCTCAACAGAAACAATGGTAGCTGTGTAAGGTTCCTTGGGCTTGAATAAATTTAGTGGAGGCTCTTTAGCAGTTTCCAACATTGAAGGTAGAACTCCAACCTTGGATTTGCTGGCTTGTTGCACTGACATGCATATTATGTACTGATTGCTCTTCTGTGCATTTCGTGATTTCAGATCAAAAGATAAGTTGGAATTCCATGACTTGTTACCGAAGTTTAAAATGTTCCTCTGCAATAAAAGCCAAGTGCTTCAGTATCAAGAAATGATTAACTTACAGTGCAATGAAAAGTAAGCCTGAAATTTTATTCCAGAAAAATACTGCAATTCTAGCTCAGTTCTTGCACGGGCAGTATTAATAAGAAACAGCTTCACAAGAAAACTGCCGAATACAATGCTGCATTTGACAAGCATACACCACACTTTCGCTATTATCAACATTCAAAGATGGATACACACATGAAGAGCACACCTTTATAACAGGTGAACACTCTATAGTCTATACTATTAATTAAGCAAGAGAAAATTTGCGTTGCCAAATGTTCAGCACCCTTGTCTCCATAACCCACTCTATAGACATAAACTATATAGAAACTCAACCATCATACATTATTCTGACTCCAACGGTGCAATTTAAATTCGATATTCAAAAGAGTTTATCAACTTTTCGGATAGGAATTTAACTCTAACTTTTCGCACATCATATACTATGTTCTAACTCTAGTCTTTCAACTTTCCAATGATCTAAACACCCATTGATGAAACTAAACCAAAAATCGCCGATCTTATAGCACAATAATCAGGAGTAATAATTAGTGAGTACCTTAAATACAGATCTCCTTATAGAAATGTCGTTTCCAGTAGGAACAGCTACAGAAACCTGAAAAATAAACCCAAAATATTATTCTTGCAAAAAAACCCATTTCGATAAATTCGAGAACAGCTAATGAAACGATAACAATAACTTTATCCCTATAAAATGTATTGGGTGATCCTTTATTTTTTTTCACTTTATCCTATGAATCAAACAGAAAGGAAAACTAAAAAAGAAAAAAAGAAGAAAGACCTGGGATACAGTTGAATGAGCCATGAAGCAGAGATGAAAGAAAAAGACTTTCAGAGGAGAGCAAATTCAACGAGATCTTTGTTTTGATTTGCTTTTCACTTGTCTTCTCTTAAATTAGGATTTAAAGGATGGGACTGATGGTTTAGGAAGAAAAATTTGATCTTTTGGTTACTGCAAAAGACGCTTTCTCTTCTACTTTGCCTTCTCGAGTGGCTGCTTAGTTAAGCATATTATTAGGAATAATAATGATCTTTCCACGATTGGTTAAAAATAATTATTTAAAGAATCTAATATGAAATATATTTTTACTGTTTTTCTATGGCCGAATTGTTGAGATATTATTGTGAGAGAAAAAAATCCCAAGATAAGTTACATCGGAAATTATTTCTCTGTCTGTGTTTATTTAACAAATTTTATAAAAAGATATATAAAAAGACCTAATGATAATGATGAATTTTTTTAATAATATGATTACAAAAAGTAAAAATATTTAAAATTATAATATTTACGAATATTATTGTAAACTAAATAAATAATTTATATATTTTCATATAATATTGATACTAGTTACTTTGGATTATACAATGATTATATGGAAAATGTTAAAAATTTAATTAAAAGACTCGAACGACAAT